GATGAAAAGGAACGCTTAAAAACCCTTTTATTTTAACTACATTTTCGATGCAGAATCGCGGCCCTTTAAATATTTTACGAACACCGCCAATTACCCTAACGCCCTGTACAAGCTTTAAAATAACAGCAATTCGAGTTCAGCGGAGAAATTTTATCCGATACACCGCCTCATTATAACTTATACACGGAAAAAACCAGGTACATTGAAAACACGCATCGCGCCCGTTCCACACGAGCTTGCATAATAGATTGCGTAAGAATTACGGTCGAACAACGGAAGTAAGGGTAATTAAACGTTTGCGGGAACTTACGACAGGAAGAGGGCATATTGTAGTAGATAATGCACGGAGTGTAGGTAAACTCCCCTTATAATAGACCAAACAAAGGGCTTTAGATCGTAAGCGATACACCGTATTGTACGGGCCCGATACTTACAGGACGTTCATTAGCAAAGATGTTTTGTAAGATGATCAATCTATCATGCGTGCGATAATTAAGGAGTTTATATGATAGAAGAATCAGTTAGTTATCGTTGATAGTGTATAGATACATATTCCTATGTGCAACATAGATTTTCTGTGTTAAATATGATATCAAGTATTAAGTATTAAGATTACATAAGTGTCCTTTAACCTTATTCCTATACCTAATGGGAATCCTTTTAAATCATAAGTCATCCTTAGGGGTAGTATTTTAAAAATTTAACACCCTCAAGTAGCTAAACCCGTAATCTCTTTAGTGAGTATTACCTACAAAATTATTGACACGTGAATTTTTGAGCGGATATCAGTCATTAATGCGCGATAATATTCCCTTGCGAATATCGCATAATACGCCTTTAATAAACACAGAGCAAAATAAACAGGAAATTATTCATTAAGACACGCGCGCTCCGAAACTAATATCTCGTTGTCTTCAAAGAAAACGGCTCGGTTATCCGATAATTTGGTAGGCTTGCGAGGCATTAGAGAGATTGGGGAAAGAGGTGCGAGCGCCCCGGTCTCCCTATCGAATGCCTTCGATGTACATAAACGTACATAATTAGGAGTCAGCGAGGTGTGAAAGGAACATCGGACGCCGTTTCCCAAAAGGATTCCCTACACCTACATACCTACCGTTCTTCGGGATAAACCGCGCTTCTCCCAAATGGAACAAGCAATTCCTAACGAACAGCGGCGGAAAACCGGGTAGAGTTTTGAATTTTCCTGAATTTTATTTCGATTATTAGTTCTACTATCTAATCGATTTATTCGAGACCCATCCCCTGGAATGCTCGACAGCGATTCATGCGAATAGCGTTCCCTTCTGCGACGACCGCACGAAGAGATATACGCACAGAAGCAGTTATATGGCGCAAATCTAAATTACCCGACAGCATATATCGATTTTCGTTTTCAGACTACAATTAACGACGTTTAGATTGGATACCTGTCGCCTATTATTCCGCCTAATGGACGGTTATTCAAGGGCCGTGTTCCTCACGACGAATTATTATTACCGAAAAACGTTCATCAATCAACCGGGAATTTGTTTAGTATTAAATTCATCGGGTTTGTCACCGAAAAATAAACAAAGTTACATTTTACAACTACTATATTGAAACCTACATAATCTAATTAATAATCAATTAATTTGCGATTTTATTATTCGTATTGATTGCCTCCGATTGATGGAAACTAACAATTCCCTAATTTGCTATATTATAAATAATTAAAGCTTGTTGGTAACTCACGAACGGCTAAAGGAAATTGACAAAGGATACTTTTGTTAATACGCATCTTTGTAATGAACAAGTCATTCGGTATATAATGGGCATACACACAGAAATGTAATTTTGCTAATATGTCCCAGTTTCATTAGTTTAAGTGCAACCCACCAGTCAAGTACCTAATAGTTTGTAGAGAGTATTGTTCTAGTTTCACCAGTAATTGACAACTCTGTGGTAAAAGAGGACTTTGGGAATTTAACGAAGTTTAAATTCGTCCCCATAACTATTATGATTTTCCATTAACGATATTTTTGTCAACTGCGTTGTTTCGTTGGATTGTTAAAAAGGAATTTACCTACTTTTTTGGAAACAACCCCAAAGTGGATTTTCTAGTAACAAGAAAAATCAATGGTTCGAACATACATGGTGTAATAGAAGTTTAAAAATCCTCCAATTTGGGAGAATATATGTGTCCGAATCCAGGAAATCCAATTTGGATTATTCCTGGAAAATCCCGGAATCTCGAGATGCTGTTTTTCCTGCTCAGATTGGAGTTGATTCAGCGACCTGCACCTTCAGGATTATTTAAATTCGGTGTTTTGTGCTTGTATCAACATTTCTGTTTCAATAAAAAAACGCAATTCAACCTATTATTCATATCTAAATTTGGTCGAATCTTTGATTTCTCGCAACAGACTCTAATCCCAAATGGAAAGTGTACCCTCATAAATTTTCCCCTGCAAGTTTTCCGAAGAATCCAGAACTATTCAGGAAGATAGTATCGATATTTTATCCTATTCGTTTTGTTTATACCTAACAAGAAGCGAGTAGAAGGGTAATAAATTTTCATATTCGTATTATATCAAAGATATTCAAAATATCCGTTTTCAATTACAAAATTAACACACGAGAGCTATCAAAACAATAACATTAAGTAACAAACAAGATTACCGAAGAGAATAACATTAAACATTCGTTACTATCGTAGTGGCATTAATCACGAGATTAAACGTGATCAAATTAATACGTAAATGTGGTTTGTTTAATATTTATTTTGCTTATGCTTAAATGCTTAATCAAAACATATACTTTGTGGAAAAAAAATTAAGAGTGTTGTTGTAAACTATAATTGATTTGCTTATACGAACTTGAAGTGTTGTAAAGAAGGCTTCGAGTTATTTGATGTTATGTATTTTGATATTTTTTAAAATGATATGGTTTTATTAGATTTCAATGAATAAAATTGTTTGGCAATTATTATCTATTAAAAAGCAAGGATTTATTAATTGCGGGTTAAATAAGAAATTGGTAAATACGCTGAAAATAATACGTATAGTATAAATCATAATAAAGATTAAACTGGGAATTCCCATTTTAATCAATCGTAAAACACCCTGATCATATTAAATTCCTAGTAGTTCATACCACCGATTGTAATGGTGATAATTGTGATTGCAAATTGAAAATCGAAAATATTAGTTTCATAAAATATCTCGGTTTTGCAGTCGATCAGAATCTTAAATGTACATATTGACGTACATATTGATAATCTTTGTGATCGAATAATAAAAGTTTCATACATTTTCCATAAAATTAAAAATACAGCCTCTCCATACGACAAAAACTGTATATTTCTCACTAGTACAATCTTTATTATCTTACGGAATAATTGCCTGGGGATCAGCATATGCAAATCACTTAAAAAGTTTCAATTATTCAAAAAATTATACTTAAAATTTTATACAAAAAACCAAAAATGTTTTCATCTGAAATCCTTTTCTCAGATTTGCTGTGTTCACTGTACAGGAATTATACATTATAAAACTTTTCAAGTACTACTTTAGAAATAAAACTAGTGTCTCTTTAGTCAATCATGCATACAACACTCGTATCAATACATAGGTTAGTGCTTCACTTCAGTATGCTCATCGAACAATTGGTCAGAAGTGTTTCCTCTACCATATTCCAAAATTCTTCAACGCTCTACCTGTCAATCTTAAACACAGTAAACTATCCAGGCATTATTTTATGCGTAAAATCAAGGCTCTAATAAGAGAAAACTCTTCAACTTTTATTAACTTAGTCTATTGATTCGATTTCCTCTATAATGCCTTAATTCCATAAGATTTTTTTGTTAAATAAATGCTACTTGTGATGGAAATGTAAACCAAATTTTGTTTATATGTTATTCTTAATTCTTGAATATACACACAAGCTTGCTTAAGCATATTTAAGAATTCGCTATTACCTTCTGCCTTACTACCTTTATTAAGACTAGTATATAAGATATGCTAAGCTTTATGAAATATTGCATATATAAAAGCTTTAAGAATATTACAAATTATGTATGATAATGTAATTCTTAATAAATTTCTTTCTTTCTATTATTTGCAAGATTTGCAAAAGGTATTAAGAAAAAAATAGGCTTCTCCAAAACAACAAAAACAATATTACAAAATTATTATTAAATTTGTGAGTTGAATTATCTTTGTGTAAGCGTAATCCAATTTATGTCAAAAATCCTGCAAATAAACCAAATCATATGGAATTGAAGCATTATAGAGGATATGGTCAATCTTCGATGCGACCTTCTCAAAAACTAGTACTAAATTTCGCTCAGTACTCAAATATTAACCAAACTAACCAACGCTGCTCTTCATCATTACTTCAAGCAAACTCCCAAACTAACTAAAAACACTCATCTCCCTTTCGTAACATCCCAGCGACTCTTTGATAATTAATTTACCAGGAAAACTTCACAATTAGATAATTTCTCGTTATGCACCGGCTTAAGTTCCGCGTCTTGGAGGACGTTCTTCTTCCTGGCCCAAGCTCGAAGCAAATTAATATTTAAAGCCCGCTTTCGACGCGCATTCGAATAGAATAGTCGCAATAACGCGAAACGCAAACATGCGACTCGCCCCCCGGATTATTAGCGACTCATCGGGTTCCCCAGAGCGCGGAAATTTCGGGGTATTGTTTGGAAAATTAAAAATTTAAAGCGAGTCGAGTGGATAATCGCGCGATTTGTTTATTTGGCCGCGGTTCTTCTGAGAAATTGAAAATTGAATCGGTGTGTAGGTATATGGAGATAGTTAATTGGGTTTTCCGTGTTTATTTATCGCAGCGTTAAATTGATTATTGAATTATTAAAGGAAGCAAAGGTAATAATATTTTATTGTATATTACAGAAACATTGGAATGTTAATGATCTGGTCGTTAGTGTAGATGGGATTGCGTTCGTCGTTGGTGTATAAGTATTGGAAATTGCGTTTTAAATGTTATAGTACGAAATGAATCGACTACTGCAGAAAATGAAGGGATTGCTCGTTTGTCTAGTACTTGTTACAAGTGAGTAAGATTTAGCAACTGATTTATTGAGAGGTTTCCTGTGCGTTCTAAGTCTAAGATACAATTAGCTGTAGAATTATAGTTTATCTATTTCCCTCCAATCAAATATTAAGCAACCAAACTACCTCGTGTTTAGTGACGAAAACTTAAATTGTACAACCCGCTAATTTCTCAATACTATGAAACTAGGCCCTATATGCGCTCTATGTATCATTTATGTCGGCAAAATCCATAAATTTACCTTAGCAACTAACAACAGTCTCAACCTAAACACCATCTCGACTTTATTTCCTTTGTCAAACATCTATTTAATTATTTCTTTACAATTTTATTGCAAATATGTAGAGCCCGTTTAGTTGTGATAGCAGGAGTTTATCAAAAGGTCAATACGATTGAAACACAGAGGAATATAAATCTCGATTTTGTGTTTAAGTTCTCACAAATTGGTTGCATTAGTTGGTAGAGAATTTTATTGAATGAATATGAAGGGGATTTTCGTTGTCGCTGTTTTGCTCGTCGGTGAGTAATTGAGAAGTTCTATAATATGGATAATTGCACCTTAATAGACTAGATTATTATAAAAATCCACTTCTAAAATGACCGATTTAATTTGTGTGTCTGTTGCTTTGCAGGCTTGACCTACGCCGAAGAAAATGGAAACAGACCAGGTACTTAATCAAATCATCTTCGCCTATTTACATTTTTTTTCATACGATTTTTGTTTAGTTTTGAGAAGGGTGACTCGCCAAACAATTAACAGCCTTAGCGGTGCTTTTATAAAGCAAATCGAAGCTAACGTCATATTGAATTGTAAAGCAAACGGCTTGACCACCAGCGGTGCTACCGAATTACAGGTAGGTGATTAATTAATAATATTCCTACGATCACGGTAATTATTATGAATGTCGATTAGGAAACCTTCGATAAAATGAAAAGCTGTTTGGGAACAAAAACGGTATATTCCGTGTCGAAAGACGAGTACATCCAGCACATTGTGTCCTGCAGCAAAGACGCTGTTCGTGAAACCGAAAACTGCTTGGAAAGCAACCAACGTTACTTCCCCAATTTCATCTTGGATTTGGCCAAGTCCTTGGTTAATTTCATGTACGATGACAAAGCCGCACTGGGCTGTAAGTATACCAGAAATGTGTTTACACAAAACATATGATAACCAATCGAGTTGTTGCCGTGATTTATTTAATGAAAATATGCTATTCGGCGTGCACCGAGTTTAAGCATTCGAATTATTTATACAGCGATATTTTCAAATTTTTCAGCCATGGAAATGACTGCTTGCATCAGGAAATTCGCCACCGTCGACGCACGAATGTATTACTTCGGTTGTATAGTGAACGCTTCCATTCAGACTCATGACACGCAGGAAATACCGCACTCGAAAGGCGATTTTTGCAGGTAAGTTTCGCCGAAAAGCGGCACGACGACTGGATTACCAAATATTATTTTTTTCATCAGCAAATTTGTTCCGGCCGGAAAATGCTTCCCCAAGACCATGAACAAGTATTGCGATCACAACAGCAACGTCGAAAAATTCATCTCGGATTACTCGAAATCTATGGAGATACCCTGCGAGATCAAAGAACAGTGATATTGACTTGGAGCCGAGTTTAATTGAGTGGGTTTTTTTTTAGAAATAAAAACTGTTGATTTATAACCACGTATTTTCATTGTTGTCGCTTGAAGTAGGAGCATTCTTTAAAGAGCGTTTATTGAGCCTAAAAGCTTATTTTTCGTTTATTAAGCTTTTTATTTCCAACAGTGGCGTCTGAACTTGACTTAGGCCAAGTATTTTTGAGGGTAAAAGTGGTACGCTACTGCTTTCTCTTGAAATAAAACTATAGAGGCCCCGTTCAATTTAGAACAAATTTGATTTTTTTACTTTTTTTTCGTACGACTCTCCGTTTCGCATAAAAAAAGTAAATGCATTCATTTGTACCGCTTCATTAGCCGCTGTTCATAGGTAATAAAAAATTTTAGGGTTAGGACACATGTTCATACAAAGTTTTTTTCTTAAAATGAGTCCAAGAAGCATCCCCTTTAGTATTATCATGTTATTCAAAAGCACCCTGTATAAAGCCCGCTTTCGATGCGCATTCGAATGGTTTGGAATGGTTCTCGAATGGTTTGGGTATTGTTTGGAAAATTAAAAATTTAACTTGAGTTGAGTGGATAATCGCGTGATTTGTTTACTTGGCAGCGGCTGTTCTGAGAAATTGAAAATTGAATCGGAGTGTAGATATATGGAGGTACTTAATTGGGTGTTTATTTATCGCAGCGTTGAATTAATTAGTGAATTATTAAAGGAAGCATTGGTAATGTTTTATTGTATATTAGAGACACATTGGAATGTTAATGAGCTGATCGTGAATGTAGAGGGGATTGGGATCATCGTGGGTGCTTAAGTATTGGAAATTGCGTTTTAAATGTTTAGTAAGAAATGAATCGACTACTGCAGAAAATGAAGGGATTACTCGTTTGTCTAGTGCTTGTTGCAAGTGAGTAAGATTTAGCAACTGATTTACTGAGAGGTTTCCTGTGCGCTCTAAGAAACAATTAGCTGCGGAATTAGAGTTAATCTATTTCCCTCCAATCAAATATTAAACAACCAAACTACCTCGTGTTTACCGACGAAAACCTAAATTGTACAACCCGCTAATTTGTCAATACTATGAAACTAGGCCCTATTTGCGCTCATGTATCATTTATGTCGGCAACAATCCCTCCATAAATTTACCTTAGCAACTAACAACAGTCTCAACCTAAACACCATCTCGACCATATTGTTTCCTTTGTCAAACATCTATTTAATTATTTCTGCCTCGAACGGGTCGATTGCTTTATGGAATATGGGCGTGCTGAATCACGTGGAGTATTCATTATTAACAATTTTAATTGATGCAACTCCTTCCTCTTAAAGTACACACTTATATCTGCGTAACATTAATAAAACTTACGTTTTAATTAAATCCGGTTTAATAAAAGTAAGCATTCCCGATAATTTTATTGCAAATATGTAGAGCCCGTCTCGTTGTGATAGCAGGAGTTTATCGAAAGGTCAATACGATTGAAGCACACAGGAATATAAATCTGGATTTTATCTTTAAGTTCTCACAAATTCATTGCATTAGTTGGCAGAGAATTTTATTGACAATATGAAGGGGATTTTCGTTGTCGCTGTTTTGCTCGTCGGTGAGTAATTGAGAAGTTCTATAATATGGAGAATTGCACCTTAATAGACTAGATTAATTTAAAAATCCACTTCTAAAATGACCGATTTAATTTGTGTGTCTGTTGCTTTGCAGGCTTGACCTACGCCGAAGAAAATGGAAACAGACCAGGTACTTAATCAAATCATCATCGCCCATCTAAATTTTCTTTCATGCGATTTTTGTTTAGTTTTGAGAAGGGTCACTCGCCAAGCGATTAACGGCATGGGCGGTGCTTTTCTAAAGCAAACCGAGGCTAACATCATATTGAATTGCAAATCAAATCAATTGACCGACAGTGGTGCTATCCAATTACAGGTAGGTGATTAATTAATATTCCTACGATCACAGAAATTATTATGAATGTCGATTAGGAAACCTTCGATAAAATGAAAAGCTGTTTGGGAACCAAAATCATATTTTCCGTGCCGAAAGACGAGTACATCCAGCACTTGGAGTCCTGCGGCAAAGACGCTGTTCGTGAAACCGAAAACTGCTTGAAAAGCGACCAACGGTACTTCCCCAAATTCGTCTTGGATTTGGCCAAGTCCTTGGTTAATTTCATGTACGATGACAAATCCGCACTAGCCTGTAAGTATACTAGAAATGTGTTTACACAAAACATCCGATAACCAATCGAGTTGTTGCCGTGATCTATGTATTTAATGAAAATATGCTACTAATATAATCATCGTGCATCGAGTTCAAGCATTCGAATTATTTATACAGCGATATATTCGAATGTTTCAGCCATGGAAGTGACTGCTTGCATCAGGAAATTCGCCACCGTCGACGTACGAAGGAATTACTTCGAATGTATGCTGGACGCTTCCATTCGGACTCACGACACGCAGGAAATACCGCACTCGAAAGGCGATTTTTGCGGGTAAGTTTCGCCGGAAAACGGCACGACCACTAATTTACCAAATATAATTTTTTCCAGCAAATTTGTGCCGGCCGGAAAATGTTTCCCCAATACCATGACCAAGTATTGCGATCACAACAGCAACGTCGAAAAATTCATCTCGGATTACACGAAATCTTTGGAGACGCCTTGCGAGATCAAAGAACAGTGAGGAGATTGACTTGAAGCAGAGGTTAATTGAGTGGGTTTTTTTATGAAATAAAAAGCTGTTGATTTATAATCACGTATTTTCATTGTGGGTGTTTAAAGTGAAACATTTTTCGCCAAAATTCGCCAATATTGGGATTTATAAATTAGATGCGGCTGTATGTTATTCTTGATTGTTATTAAAATTAGTCGAAATTGAAATTAAATTATATTATTTTTTTTAAATAATGCGTGCGAAGGTATGGAAAATTATACAAAGTTTAACTAATGAAGAAAACAAAAACAATTATCTGTACTATATATGTATTTGTAAGATTAATATTACTTAAGTGATAATTAAATTCGGTTAATAAAAAATAAGAATTCCCGATAACTTTATTGCAAATATGTAGAGCTCGTCTCGTTGTGAGATTGCAGTTTATCGAAAGGTTAATACGTTCGAAACACAGAAGTACATCAATCTACATTTTATCTTCAAATTCATTGCATTAGTTGATATAGATTTTGTTGGAAATATGAAGGGGTTTTTCTTTGTTGCTGCTTTGTTAGTCGGTGAGTAATTAAAATGTTTTATGGTGAATTGCACCTATTTGATAGACTAAATTTAGGTAAAAATCAGCTTCTCAAATATAAACGGTTTAATTTGTGTGTCTGTCGCTTTGCAGGCTTGACCTACGCCCAAGAAAATGGAAACAGACCAGGTACTTAAACGAATCATCATCGCTCATCAATATTTTTTTCACACGATTTCTGTTTAGTTTTGAAAAGGGTGACTCGCAAAGCGATTAGAAACATGAGAGGTGCTCTTCTAAAGCAAATCGAAGCTAAGATCATATCGAATTGCGAAGCAAACGGCTTGACCGACTGCGGTGCTAACCATTTACAGGTAAGCCATTAATTAATATTCTTATACGATCACGCTAATTATAATGAATCGATTATGAGTCGATTAGGAAACCTTCAATAAAATGAGAAGCTGTTTGGAAACCAAAATCATGTATTCTGTGCCGAAAGACGAGTACATCCAGCACTTGGAGTCCTGCGGCAAAGACGCTGTTCGTGAAACCGAAAACTGCTTGAGAAGCGACCAACGGTACTTCCCCAAATTCGTCTTAGATTTGGTCAAGTCCTTGGTTAATTTCATGTACGATGACAAATCCGCACTGGCCTGTAAGTATACTAGAAATGTGTTTACATAAAACATCCGATAACCTATCGAGTTATTGCCGTGATCTATTTAATGAAAATATGCTATAATATAATCAGCGTGCACCGAGTTCGAGCATTCGAATTATTTATATAGAGATATTTTCCTATTTTTCAGCCTGGGAAATGACTGCTTGCCTTAGGAAATTCGATAACTTCGACGTACGAAGAGATTACTTTAGTTGTATGGTGCTCGCTTCCATTCGGACTCACGACACGCAGGAAATACCGCACTCGAAAGGCGATTTTTGCGAGTAAGTTTCGCTGAAAAGCGGCGCGACGAATGGATTACCAAATATTTTTTTTCATCAGCAAATTTGTGGCAGCCGCAAAGTGCTACCCCAGAACCGTGAACAAGTATTGCGATCACAACTGCAACGTCAATAAAATCATCTCGGATTACTCAAAATATTTGGCGATCCCCTGCGAGATCAAAGAATAGTGAGGAGATGATTGACTTGGAACCGAAGTTAATTGAGTGGGTTTTTTTATTATGAAATGGAATATTTTTCGCCAAAATTCGTCAATATTGGGATATATAAATTAGAAGCGGCTGATATGTTATTCTTGATTGTTATTAAAAATTAGTCAAAATTACAATATTTTTGAATTGAAACTGGTTCAACATAGCATCAATATATTACATACCATTGTAGGATAATATAATTTGTAAATTTCTAATACAATTCTCCTTGTTTTTGATTATTAAAAATGAAGAATAATGTCATTCGCGATAAAATAAAATCCTTGTTACTTTCAATGGGTTGTCAGTGGTGGGAAAATGTTTCAAACGCTTCACGCCGATAATGACTCGGTCTATTACGCCTTCGGATCGAAACCTATACCGTTAAAATGCCCTTATTGCAACACAAAAGTCGTCACGTACGTAATCGACGTGCCAAACGCACAAACTTGCCTATGCTCGACGTTGCTGTGCTTGTTCTTCTGCCCCCTATTCTGGGCCCCGTTTTTCTGCAGCCCCTGCACCTCGCAGTATCACTACTGCCCTGTGTGTAACAAGCTGTTAGGAACCTACCCGTGATATCATACAGCGTAATTGTAGAAATGAAAATCCTTAATAAAATCTTGGTTTTTAATTTATATTGATGTTGATATTAATATTGTCCCAAGAAGGATTGACAGTAGGGACAAAAGTGTTGGTGACTTTTGCAAGATGCGCAGCAAAATGGTAGCCAAAACAATGGACAACATACGATTAGTAGCAATAATGCTCCTATGACCGTGCCGATAGTGACTACATTACGTACCACCGTTACAACTCGACGATTGCAGTAGGGACATACGATCTCCTGGGGGTAAGGACTGTGAATGAGGTACGTCGGACTCAAATGGACTCGGTGATGAGACATTTCCACGTTGAGTACTACATTTTCGTTATTTCTGATTCATTACATGGGTTTCTTTTGTGTGGTATGTGATTACGGAAAATTTGGACATTTTTGCAAAAGTCAATGAAACTGTTCTTCTTTTTGCTTCTAAAAACTTAGATAAACAAATTAAGTGCCTGTCAAAATGTCCCGTTCGCAATGAAAGATCGACCAGAAGCAATTTAAACGAAGAAGATCCAGAAAGAACATGGATCACCAGTGCACGTACATCTGGACGACGAAACCTCAATGCGTAATATGCCCGATTTGCAAGAATAGAGTGGTCACCTACGTGGTAGAAACTCCCAACAACGTTACGTTTTTGGCTTCGTTCGTTTGCTGCATATTCTACTGTCCCTTTTTCTACGTTCCCTTTTGCTTCAGCTCGTTCAAAACCCAATACCACTTCTGTCCTATATGTAAATTTAAGATCGGACAACGACACTAATAAAGCCTGCCATTTTACCGTTAATGTTTTATTGCGATTACGACCGGTCAAAAATTCAACTGACGCTGTTGCCAGGCAGTTGCATGAGCCTCGAATGTCAAATGAAGCGCCAAACACCTGCACAATATGAGATCGTAGAATATCAAAATTCAAAGTGAACGTTCCGCCAGCCCGAAAGGGTGAACAGTCGCGATGAGCCGGAAAAATCGCGCCGAAAGAAATGGAATATGACACGTGTTTCACGTGGACGTCCATACCTCAAACGGTCATGTGCCCGTATTGCAACGACCGTGTAATTACGTTGGTTAAAGACTATCCGGTTCCGAAAACCTTTTTCATCAGCGCGATAATTTGCGTGTTTTTCTGTCCGTTTTTTTGGGTGCCATTCTGCGTGTCACCGTTGCAGAGCCAGTACCATTTTTGCCCCAGCTGCAAATCCTATTTGGGAAGAAACAGAAGCCGTTAAATCAACAGTTTATTCGCTAATTATCCATTCTCATCGCGTTTTGTTACATAATATTTCCTAGGTAAATACACGTTGTTATGTCTTGTAAAGATGTGGATATTATGAAACGGTAGTTAATCCAAACCGCAATTCCCTAATGGGTTTCCCCCTTGAACGTCCTTTCGACTTTGAAATTATACGTTTCGGCGCGAATAAAATTAAAATTATGCATAGTTGGATTCGCTCTTAGTAATTCGATATTCCGGGAAAACCGAACTCTTAATAACACCGAGCGAGTTTAGAGTAACATTGTTTATCTCTGCTTCTCTTCGTCGAATTGCGGGGCATATAAAAAGCCGCCTTTAGGAGAATACGCTTACTATTTTTTATTCTAAAGCGGGATCATGAAGTCGATCGTTTTCTCCGTGGTTTTCGTTATTGGTAAGTATAATTTTTAATTAAAATCGATATGCGTAACTAATCAATTGTAGAACACTTGCATGGTAATTAAATTTTTGTTCGATTTTCCAATTTCATGTATCATTATTATCGCGGTTATGTAAGTAAGAGGTAATTATCGAGGTAATTAGAAATGTTGTTGTAAATAATGTAGCAATTAATAAACAATTATATGTAGAATATAACAAGATTATATTTTTATACAGTCATGTGGCCTTCAGACGAAATCAATTTGGGCTGTTAAATTCTCGATTAAAATCGTCATAACGCGTTGCTCCTAAAATTCACGAACCTCTCATTATTTAATAAAGAGTATTAAGTAATCTTGCTGCTATAAAATGCGTTTTATATTTTACAGGATTAGTCCAAGTAAACACGGCGGAAGTCCAAATGAAAAGTAGGCATTCACCCAATTACTAGAGAGTATACATATTAACGAGGCATTTTCCCCGTAGCTTTGAAAAGGGTCACAAGGCAAGCGATGAGTTTCACAGAAAACCAGTACATTCAACCGATCGTTTCTAAAATCATCCTTCACTGCAAAGCGAATCATTTATCTGCCGATGGAGCCCAGAAACTGCAAGTACGAAATTAATCCACCTACTAATTATCATTTCAACGCAATTAATTACAGAAACTATACGATGATATGATATCGTGCAGATCGAAATTAACACTATTCTCGATACCCAAAGACGAATATCTCGATAAAGTCAAAGCCTGTTCCAAAGAGGCGTTCGCCCAATCGGTAAACTGTTTGCCCGAAGAGTTAAAGCATTTACCCGAATTGGCGAACAGCTGGATGACATCGGTGCCCGCCTATCTCTACGATCACAAAAAAGCCATCGGCGGTAAGTCCCCGAATCAAACCGAAAGAAATCCGCTTAAAATAACGGACGTTTTCAGCGCCGGAAACGGTTCGGTGCCTCAACAGGTTCCGGGAAACTGACGTCGAGTACGCGTACCTCGGCTGCACGCTTTCCGTGGCATTTGAAAACGTCCAGCCAAGCGGAGTCATCTCGACGGACGAGCAATTTTGCGGGTACGAAACCACAAAAAGTTTAAACTAGATCGAAAAAAGTTTAATCCTGCATCTGCCATCTGTCATCTGTCATCTGTCATCTGTCATCTGTCTTCTGTCTTCTGTCTTCTGTCTTCTGTCTTCTGTCTTCTGTCTTCTGTCTTCTGTCTTCTGTCTTCTGTCTTCTGTCTTCTGTCTTCTGTCTTCTGTCTTCTGTCTTCTGTCTTCTGTCTTCTGTCTTCTGTCTTCTGTCTTCTGTCTTCTGTCTTCTGTCTTCTGTCTTCTGTCTTCTGTCTTCTGTCTTCTGTCTTCTGTCTTCTGTCTTCTGTCTTCTGTCTTCTGTCTTCTGTCTTCTGTCTTCTGTCTTCTGTCTTCTGTCTTCTGTCTTCTGTCTTCTGTCTTCTGTCTTCTGTCTTCTGTCTTCTGTCTTCTGTCTTCTGTCGTCTCCATATTATCTGCTGTAATCTGCTTTCTATGCTCCTGGCTCTCTGCAGCTTATTATCTGTTCCCTTCTCATCACTATTTTGTATTTTCTGTTCTCTCTTTTCTGCTCTTTAGATCATTTTTTGGATAATTATTTTTTTAATATTTCAGAACGTACGTCAAGGCGCTGAAATGTTTGCCGAAAACTATCAACAAATACTGCGCTGACGACGAGTCAGTTAAAAATACTTTTGCAGGTTTAATCGAAGCCGCCACCGAGCCTTGCAAGATATATTTGAAATAGATAACATAATGAACTAGCTTTTAACGTGTTTATGCAATAAGTAGTGGAAAAATGTCGATTAATTTCTGATGTGTTGACGAGACAAAAAAAGAAACATTCTTCTGGAAAGCGTGATAATAAATTGTTTACTTCTATAGGTTTTTCGTTTATCAGGTGACTAATTAAAATTTCATTTTAACTTTACAAGAATGTTGTTTTTTAACTTATCCAATTTGTTCATCCCGAAACGATTTTATCGCGCGGATTTAACTTATTTATATCTGGAAAATCGCTAACGGTGCGTTTAGTCAACTTCGAATTTCAGAATGAAGAACTTGGCGTTGCTGCTAATCGCTTATATTTCAGGTAAGTTTTTACCAAAGTCCATAATTCATACTGAGTTTCTTTGCGGTATTTATTCAGCATCCTCCAGCGCTTTGCATATTAGAAGCCCCACCGCACCGTTGAAGAGAACGGAAAGAGACATTCTAACCGGAATAAAAGAAAGATACCAGGAACTGATGAACAAGATCATCCAGAATTGCAAAGCGAACGATTTGGACGAGCAAGGCGCCGCCCATCTGCAGGTTTAATGAGCACGATAGAACTTTGATCTTTTACTTAATTTCCTATCGCTTTCAGGAATTGTACGATAAAATGCGAGTATGCATATCCGAAAATCAACTGTACTCTATATCGCGAGATGAATACATCCAGCACATTACTCGGTGTAGCCAAGATGCTAGAAGGGCCACCACGACTTGTTTGCGCAGCAATCAGAAATGGTTCCCGGATTTCGCCCTGAATTTGGCTATAAGCATTGTAAATTTCCTCTACGAATACAAAAAAGTTATGATCGGTATGTGGTAGTTCGTGTTTCTCCATCAGTTAGCTTAGTTACTCGCCATGTGGTTCTTTTTCAGTGGAAATTCCGTATTGTCTAGCGCAATTTAAGAATTTCGACGTCCAATTATCGTACGCGCAGTGCTTGTTAGAACACGAGAAAGACTCCACCGAATACAGATCGAGCACCATTTTCTCCGATACACCGGAGGAGTTGTGCAGGTAATAAGCGTTTATTAGGATTGCGAAATGGACGAGTTACAGGGTGCCTAGAAAGTATGTAAAACGTTTTACATACGAAAGTATGTAATTTTCACAATTTCCAAAGGAATTGTGCTCTAAATTAATTACGCAGAACATGTCTCTCAATTGGTGACAATGACAATTTTTATTACCATTGAAGATGCAGCAAAATCTCAAAGAGATTTCCTTTCGGCGCATTGATAAGATAGCTTTGAAATTCGAACGTTTCTATACATATTTTTCGGTATATTTCTTTGCAGGAAATTCCTACGCACTTCAGAATGCTTCTCGAAAGTGGTGAATCTAAATTGCGACATGACTCCTACGCTCACGAATTTCGTCGAAGAATTCGCCAAATCGAGAGCGAAACCCTGTGAATATTACATGTAAACTATTAAAATCCAATATGCTCATGCGATGTAATAGCTGTAGACGTGACGCTAGCATGCGCAATAGGTTATTTGTCGTTTCAAGGTCGCGCAGATCGCGTCTGGAGCTATCACCGTCGCACTGTACAATTTAATACAAAAAAAGCATTGTTAAGTTTTTGTTAAGAGTTTCGATTAAATTTTATTCGTGTTAGAGTATAGTCTCTGATTTCGTTGCAACAATTCGCTCGGAAACTCGTCTCGTTGATAACCGAACATTATTGGAAACGATGAATTCGACAGGGGGGTTAATTGGCAAAGTGGGCCTCGACGGTTATAGATATAATCTTGGCTAATTATCGGCCGTATTGTTTGATGCAGATGCTCGTATTGTACGCAACAGTTTCGTACATGTTGCGGTCGCGCGCGTTTAAATCAAATGTTTGTTGTATTTTGAATAATCTATTCCCTTTGTATTCCGCACCGTGAACGCAGATTGTTACGTTGTTCGTAACAAGCTTATATGTACATGATGTGCTGCGCGTTGTGTTATTTAAGCGGGTTGGTTTGGATATTTCGATATTTAACAATATCTACATACTAGACATTGCTGGGGAAAATGGAAAATGTGGAGAGGTGCGCTCGAAGATAAAATTCTCAACTCTCGGTGTCATCCGGAATGACGTTTGCAGGAATTCCGTGGAAAAGGCAATATACACATATTGATATTATTCTAGTAAATAGAGGGACTGGCATTTGGATGTGATATTTCAATATGATGTGTTCAAATACGCTTCCGGGTGTTTTCTTCAAATACACGTTAAGTCTTCTAAAAATACATATTGGATATATTCGATAAATATTTCTCATTTCTCTACTAGTTTAGCGAATTTCTCAATCTTAAACGAAATTAATGTTAAATAGATCTCAATTCAACAGTAATTCGCATAAATTTGGAGGCTTCGCACGTTTTCGCTGTAGAAGCAACCACTTCCCAAGAATCTCCCCAGCGGAAGAACATCCCCCCGACCGCGTTCACGTCATGTAGATACACATCGGGAGCTCAAAAAACCCTAGCCTTGTCTGACTGTTTATTCCTCCATTAATCATACCGGGTTCATTTTTGCGGGGGCATCTCCCGCTCTTTTCGGTAGAGATTTTTTTCCGGAGATTTGCTGAATAAGACAAATGCCTATTGTCAAAGAAATGGCTTCCAGGAACGCTAATGGCAGCGCGGCAGCTATTTAATAATCCCCGCGGATTATTCGGAATTCGAAAATATAAAGGAAATAGAGACGTGTCGGGACTCGGAAAACGGGTGGATTTACCCTAGCCGACTCGGACGATCCCTTGAAGGGCCGAATTTGTTGCGGACGACATCTCGGAAAATGCTATTTCTCATATAAACGTGGAACAACTGTCGCTGTATCTACAAGCTTCATTTCGACTGCTTTCGCCGTCCTGTTGAATCCTTGGCTTAAGCCCTTCTGGTCGTCCTTAGACCGGCACAATGACACCGCTTCGCTTTATACAACGACAAAAAAATCACCAACAATTTCACCACAACAAACGCTCCTAATAAAAACCAAATTAATCCGCCAGCAGGAACGGCAAGCGTCCAGCTGGATTAGCAATTACCGCCGATATAGCGGTAAATTTTCTCGTAATCGGTGGGGATTTTTATAAACTTCCCGTCCGATTGGTTGGCCAACGGGCCCATCGGGGACGTATGATCTAGCGGTTGCAGTTTATGTGCTAGTTGGGAGCTCATGAAAGCGGACGCGCGGTATCGAGTAAAAAGAAAACGGCCGGTAATATAAAGTAAAAACGGGTCGGAGAAGATCTGAAACGAAATAAATTGCCGGTTTAAAAGCGGCCGTATCGAAGGAGCCGCAACGAAAACCCAGAAGTTAGGTGTGTATATTGTCTAGTTTACTACAATAGGAAACGTTATTTTCGTGCACGATTTTCCGGATAAAGGCGACACCAGTACTGACTTTATTTGTCAATTTCTAATAATACTTACAGGGGATTCCCATGAGACGTTCATTTCTATCTCTAAATATTGTATAAAACTACTTTATTTGTTTTAATTTATTGTAGTATACATTGGTGTTAATTAATGTTATTTAGGTGCTTATTTTAATTGATGATTCTTGGACTAATTTTAAGTTATAAAGTTATGTCCTCGGAAGCTTAGTTTTCAATAGGGTTATAATAGTTTTACGATATGCGATACAAGATATGCAAATTTACTGCACAATCCATAAGAAAATTATCTACATCATACACTAAGAGAAGAATGCGAGAATTTATTAAATCAGACGATGGCGCTTCTATTGAACTGTAAATGACGCATCAGTCGCAGTAATAAAGTGCACGGGTATTGAGTGTCGAGTTTTCATTTTTCCCGGTCTCCTCTTTCCCGTTTTATCTACACTTGGCGGAGCATAATTCATATTCGATTGCGATTTAACGAACGTCCGGGCCAGAGAAACTCGGAAATGCACCGGCGTTGTTCCGTCTGCGCTGTCTGCTCGCGACGGTTCCGACTCTACTAAATTAGACGTCTTAATTGAAATTCGAGAAAATCTGATAAGTCCGCATGCTACGACTGAGACACACAATATCGGCCGTTTAAAAGAACGTAAATTTCGCCCAGCGAAACCGTATCTTTCGTTGTTAACGTCGACGCCGAGTCGAGTTTATGTATCTGCTCGTAGGAAAAACTTGGAAAATAGGACGAGAGAGATATTGGAAATTCGCAATTTAATTATAAACGTTTGGTGTCTATTATAAGCGTTGGGTGTAATGTTTCAACTAAACCATAAGAATCGTGTTTTATATCGTGTCTTGAAAGGCGAAAGGTCTGCGGAGTTTTCCGGAATAAATTTGAATAAATTTGAGTACGTCGTTCGCACTTTGCTTTATACCTATATAAGTTTCGCGCAAGTGTCCTCCACAAAGAGGATTTGCTCTCTTGAATAGTTCGCCAGTTTCCTAAAACGGATATCGGGTTTTTTTGTATTAAAAAATCCGGGTAATAAAAGCTAAACTATTTCGTTATTTTTACAACGAACGTTGCGGTTACATTTTAATTAACGTTTCGTACGCGCGCAAATAGAAATGAGGGATATCTGTGTATGCAAAAAACAACAACAATCACAACGAATCTACTCCCACCGCGAACTTTTGATATTTTTTCATTTATTCGTTTATTGTTTTTGAAAGCTGGTGAATTGTTTTGTTCCGCTGATGCCTCGGCGTATATTTCGGTTTGCACAAATAAACGGAAAATAAATTTAATCGTTAAGTACGCACCGTAGTACATTACGTAATAATTGTTGTATAACGCGCTAATATTTACCGAGTATATTATAGCATTGAAATACGGCACGAAATATTCAGTCAAGTTTGATTTATATTGCTCAATATAGAAAAATCTCTGCTCTTTTTATTTACATACATGCAGAACTGTCACGGGATATTGGACAAATAATATTGCATATCTTTTGCATCAGAGCAATATACATATTGTATGATATGCGCTACTTTTTCTTCTACACTTCTGACACGAATAAATACATACATAAATTCGTTATAAGTTGCCTATCAGGGCATCTAGACATATAAATAATTGAAGTATTTCTAAATAATTACTCTACGATTTTGGACACAGATAAACAATATTCAGGAGCAGGATATTTTATTGGGAGAGGGCCCTATATTTTAACCCTATATACATGTAGGTCGTCCGATCACAAAAAAACCCACATATTATGAGTTTCACCATAAAATACACCCTGTAACTCTGTTATAAACGGCGCAAGTTTTATATTTTATGTTTTTTTGTGATCCAAAAATTGCCCACACAAAAGTACATACATTATCTACTTCTAATAAAAATTGCAATTGGAAGAAAAGCTATAACGTCAATATAAATTTGCTCCGTACAAAATTAACCGAGTTATCTTGTTTTCTCCACTTATTTTTTTAGTTGAAAACACTCGTCACGTACTTTATTGCTGCCAAATAGGCGAATATTCGTTACTGGCGAATCAATTTTTATGAGCAACGGACCGAGGAACTCCTTAATGGTTTGTTTGCAGACATAGCGTTAGTAAAACTAAACACGTCTCGAGTTGTTTGGATATGCTCTATAGCGGCATTCCAGAAAGAAAAATCCATATTGGTCATTTATGCGCTACGCTGGGATTTTTTCCTGATTTTAACGGCGGAATTGATGTCAATTTGGTAGTTTTAATACCTGTTAGAACGTGAGGGATATGGTAAAATGCAATTCGTTATAACTCTATCGTAAAGAAGTGTCGATAAATTCGAATTAATCGGAATAAACAGAGGACTTTTTCGCTGCGGCATCGTCCCGCAAAAAGACCGGAAAAAAATACGGTCTATCCCTTTTCGAGCCCGAATCGATATTTTCATTATGCGGGAGAGAAAGAAACGTGAAAAATAAGGGTCAAAAGTTTACTGCTCAGACCGAAAATTTATTTTCCTTGCTGTCAATGGCTACCACTCCACGATGATTTCTTGTTATTCTTAAGCAAATCAACTTAAATAGAACAAAAAAATTTCGTACATATATTCATGGGAATTAGAAAGTCTTGTGTATTCCACATCGAGTTATGTTTCCTTTATCGTTCCGCTTTTTTCGGTTTATTTTTACGACGTTCGCGAGCGATAGCGATGAATTAAAAAGTTTTCCTCAACTCCGAAGAGCGATAATTTATTTTCTTATCGGCAAACGTCGCCTCTGCACCTCCTCCTTCGGTCCGAACTTACTCCTTACCGGCGATAACCTCCACTCTTTCGAGTCCGGATGGTTTTTTCCATTTCCAACCGAACATAAATAATTACTCCTTTACGGCAATTTTAAGTTTCCGAGTCGAAAATAAATATGTGTATCCGGCGAAGCTCGGCTGCACAAAAGCCGCCGCCTCAAAGGCAAGAGGGAAAGGAAAAGCATCGAACGATTCGACCGCGGAAAGCCCGGAATACGCG